ATCTACCTATATACAAAATCTATATATTAAAATAATCTCCTCATCTTCATGTAGGGAAGCCATCAGGATATTTATGCAACATGCACCACTGCCCTCTGGCACTTCCCTAGCAGAAATGAATTGGAAGCACAATAAAGCGATCCCAGCCAGTCGAGGCAGTTCAGTCAGCAGCACTTTATGATCAAGGCTAGAGAAAAACCAACGTTTCAGCTGATAGATGTAACATTACCAGAACAGAACAGAATACAAATAAAACAAATGAAGAACTCCAAAGATTAAATCAGAGCGTTTATTGTAAACAGGGTAACTCTAGCACTCTGTCATACTGGCTGTGTCACATGCACCCAATTACACATCAACTGCTCAAAATAGCACTTGCAAAAATGACTGCAATCTCATCATTTATGGTTTGTTACATAAACGTAATTTAACAAGCACTGAAACAGAATTACAGTGTATTCTAGGTAGTCTGTTATTGCTTGTAGACACTGCAGCTTTGGATCCATTCAAATGAATCCATTAATATGCCTGAGTTAACAAACTGTACTGCTGTATCAAACTCAGAAACTGTAAAATGCTGGAGAACACTTAAAAGCAATTAAAAGTTGCTGTCAGGCTACATGAGTTCCCACTTTCACTCCAGAACTTAAAAAATACTAAATGTTCTTTTCTGGAAAAAATGGATTTGTGGTACTGTGTTAAATAGAACATCACTCCAGTTTTTATGTATAGATGTGTGTGTGTGTGCGGACACACACACACATATATAAATGGTTAAAATTTGAGTTCACATCACTTTAATTATAATTTTTTTTTATACAAAATAGAGGCCATTTCATTTTTTTCACCATAAGAGTGCTACGTTTAAATACTAAATCCCAAAAATATATAATTTGTATCGTGTGCAGTCAACATTTATTTTTAATACCTATAATACAAATAATCTTAACCAAAAGGAAATTATAAACAAAAAAAATGCATTCGGGGCAAAGCAAGCCACAACGCGTGAAACATTCATGAAGAATATGGTAAAGCATAAAAAGTAGCAGCATTTCATTTTTCCCCTATAGTGTGTTCATGTTTTTCCCTTCACGCTAGCGAGAAATGCTATTGGCCTCCACTGACAACCGGCAAACATCACATGGAAACAGCACTTTTCAAAATTATTCTTTGTGAACAGTTTATGCTGTAAACCTTTTAACAGCATTTAAGTTGATAATATTTATTCAATTAAAGCAGCATTTCTTGGATAAATATAAACTCGGGCCCTGATTCTGTAAACACTTAAGCAAGCATGTAATGTTACTCATGTGAGTAATCCCACTGAAGTAAATGTTTTGCTTTATTCATGTGAGTAGTCCCATTAGCCTCAATGGGCTAATGGGACTACTCAGGTTAGTAAAGCTACACGTGTATTTAACTATAGGCAAGATCAGGGCCAAAGGTTCAGGTTCTGTTAATAGTGGGCAAAGTCTCAAAGATGTTAATGGTATTTATGGTATTAAGTGCTCTGCCTGATAAGTGTTCACATGATTAGGCCCTTAAGTTTTCAGTGTTCAGCACATCCTGCCCTGCCTAAACATGCACAGTAAATTATACACATCAAAAGGCAAGATAGTTTAGTAATGTAACAAAATATTTTAAGACTAAAAATAACTCTTTTTAAAATCCTTTTTGTACTTTATGGCCTAATCCTGCCTTCTTTATTGAGGCAGAACCACCACTGAAGTCACTAAGCTCAGTAAAGGGTGAAGAATTGGATTCATTATATATTATTCTGCTATTTTCTTTATGAATTAAAATTATGAATTACACATGTGCCAACTGTGTTTTTGTGCTGATTTAACTAGTGTGTTGTGCTGCTGTTTTGTTTTGAATGTCTGAATGACAGAAAAAGGAGTGTGAAGACTGAGCATCTAAGCCATGTAGCCCTATACAGGAAACTCAACTGATGCATTCATGGGGCCAAACTTGACTTTAGCTGTGCTTATGTCAAAAACTAAGGCTCTGATATAGTAAAGCACTTATGCACATGCTTATAGTTATGTGCATTTTTAAGTGTTTTGCTAGATCAAGGCCTAATATAACAATATACTGAGCAAAAAAAACATTGGCGACCTCATCCAGTTTATGAACAACTGGAAACAAAAATGATGTCAATTAAAAAAAAAACAAACCAATTTTTATTATTCAACCAGAAGGAAACAACTCAGAGCAACCCTGAGAAATTGAATGAGGTATTAACAATCAAGAGACAAGCATAACACTCACAAAAATAAGATGGACTACCGAAGTGTTTCCAGCATTTTACTAGTTTGAATATAAAATGTCCCCAAATTTGTATATAAAGATTAAAACCATGCCAATATATTTAATTACTCTTCTTCTGTTAAAGACAACTCCCTTGTTTATTATTTTGTTGCAAAATTTCCTCTTTTCCACTGATCTACTTAAATCTTAAAAAGAAAACAAGTTGGTTGCACTGAGGATCAATTAAAAAAAGGTATCATTCAACACTTTACCCTTCAAAAAATGTCAAAGCCTCCTTTTTATGAAAAGTTTTGCTCTGCCCTCCCCCCAAAAAAGGCTTAATACTTTTTTTCCTGAAAAAATTACAGAGCTATTTTCAATGGCCTTTTGCAAGAATAACATGGATATTTTAAGCAAAATCAGTTTGGTCTGGAGGCTTCTTCAAATTCCATTATCAAAATGAAAATTTTAAGGGATATATTATTTTAAAAATATACTGCATCTACAAGAGCCTTTAATATTCTGGTTGATTTTGGTTTTCAACAGTTTTGTAATATAAATGACACATGACAACAACTAATTTTCTAATTCTCTGTATCCCTAAGACACCAATAACGCTGAATGAACCAAGAGTGAATCAGGGACTCTCAGAATGGACAGGATTGTTTATCTTAATAATCTTTAAGATGTTTGTTCATGATGAAACCCCTTGAAATTAATTCCTTTGCATTTCTTCATCCATTGGGATTCTTCACAGTTTTGAAGCCATGACATTGATATGTGGTTTCACCAGTGGAAAGAGTGGTAGACTGCGTTTGAACTCTGTCATATTTTGAATCACATCAGGCTGCAGAGAAGTTTATTTGAAAAAACAAAAAGAACCTTTGCTCAATATCAAATAAAACATGAGAAATTGCTCACTTTCAGATGTTATCACTTAATTGTTCTATCCACATACATACAAATCCTGTCTGCTCTTTTACCCTGAAATATCAGATCATCAGTTCCTCAAAAAAAATATATCAGCATTACTCTTACACTCACAACATTATAAAATGGCTTTTAAGCTTTGAACCCAATCAGAACTTTTAGATTTATTCTATATTATTTCAGACTATATTTAGAATACATTTATTCTATAGTGTAGGTGCTCAGCATACAATTACCTACTTCCATCTACTGTTTCTACAACGGAGTCATAGGGACAAAGGCAACTGGAAAGCCCAGGATAAAGCAGAAGTTTCCTCTTTTGTTTCGAAACACAGGATAAAATCCACACGTACAGAAGCAGGCAATGTGTTTGTAAAAAAGTAGAAGCTCTGAGACAGTTGTGAGCCAGAATCTCAATTTGTAATGATAATGTCACAGTCAGGATTTCAAAAAGTCTGTACCCTCACTCAATGCCCATTTTTCTATACTATCAACTAATTTTTTTTATTTTTTTTTACCTGTGGCAAGGGGGGTGCTGGTGCCAGATTTACGTCATTTTGGCTTGGAAATTCTCCAACAACAGGACCTATTAAAGAAAATTAACTTAGAAAGACTGCAGCTTCTAAAATATCTTCTCAAAGAAGCTACTTCTTAAGTTAGACAAATAGCTAAAAGTACAGTTTATGAATTTTAAGAACCCTGCCTGTAGTTTTTCCTTAGCAGAACCAAGCACCTAATTTATACTCCTAAATATCCCCGATCAATAAATAGTTTAACTGATAGATACATATACTATTGACTGAATTTGTGTGAAGCAAGGATAACATCTTATGGCCAGTTACAACATCTGTGTTGTACATCTGTGTTCCCTATATATTTTCCAGGGGCTACCCCACATCCTACAACTATTGCTCCCTTGTGGCAGACAGACCACTCTGATTTCATTTTTACATTTTAAAAGCATATTTATGTTCTTCCTACTCATGCATTTTATTAACAGCTAAAAGAACCTAATAAAGATCAGTCAGTCGTGGAAGTTAGAGATGGGAAAGTTATCTTAGACCCTCAGTGTCACAAAACACACACAACCTGATGCACATTGACAAATGATTTTGCACAAAATGTCATGGAAAATTTTTCACCAATCTTGCAGATAATTAGTGAAACCATGTTTTATTTTTTACATTTTAACTCTAGAGAGGAGCAGAATAGTTAATAATAAATGACAGCTGAGTCTATTTTCCAACTGATTAGTTAATTAATTGGAAATAAAATCTAAATAAAATTATTAGCATGTGTATTTCAAGTATAGAATAATGTTTCATATTACCAATTGGAGGTTTATATATTTCTTTCTTTCCTCAGAAATGCCCCAACAACAGACTGACATTTCACTGATGATCAGAACAGTCTATTCCATTTCTACACAGACATACTAAATATGTATATTTTATTTTCCAGAACAAGGTGTTTCCAGGGTTTTTTTAGTGTCTTGTTATTAAAAATAGAAGTTGTACATTTTAGGACATACCATTTTAACATAGTTAGATACTTCAGAATGGGTGAAGGAATGCCAGGCTCATCATCTTTATTGTGTCTGGAAACCCACAACTATCTGAACTTCCCTCAAATGAACTATTTTTAAATATCCTTGTGGAAAATACCTGGGTGAAAATACCTTCCTCCAAGAAGCCATAAACCACCTTTCCAGAATTTGGTTTCATAGAGCATTGTACTTGTACTGCACAACACACTGCTGTATTGCACTTTGTCTGACTTGAACAGGAATAAATTTAAAAATCTATGCAATACAATACTTACAGGAATCCATTTCCCTTGAAAGGACGTGTACGGATACCTTGTGTCTCCTGGGAGCATCTACTGCCAACATCTCCTACAGAAAGCAGCAAGGTCAGTTATTCAACAACAGAATCTAAGTGACAGCTAGCTTCTATCAGGAAGGGGAGCCATATGTTGTCTACGTATTACAAGGGATGACAACCATTTAACGTGCAACTTTAGTGGTAATTAATGTTAGAGTCAAATTTTGATTCTCTAAACCCTTGTTGGGCACGTCCCTGGAAATTTAACCAAAGTTCCAGTCCTTCACAGCTCTTAATGATTTCAGAACTGAACTGCATGAGAGATCCAGTCTTGTGAAGTTCAGAAGCCCCAAGGAACTAGGGGTGAAATGCTGGCTCCATGGAAATCAACGAGAATTTTGCCATTGATTTCTATGGAATCAGGATTACACACTAGATATTTGGTCCTACAGAGTTTCTACAGAGCTGTAACGGCAGAGCCCAGCAGCCTTGGGGAAGCACATCAACCCTGAGCACAGATGTCAAAGTCAGTTGGGCCATCTCACCTAACTATGTATATGTTTCTAGTGTCCCTTCCCGCATCCTGGGACAACTGAATAATGATGCACTGTGTATTAGTACAAACATTAAAATGGATAGAAAGAAATCTACTCCAACTGGATGGAGTACTGGTACCTTGAACAACCATATAGGTTATCACTTATTAACCATCTGTTAAGGAAATCTCTTCTAGTAATTTTCAATTTGCGGTCTTTGATTTTTAATAGGTCTCTCTGTGTTTAATTGATATATGTAGTGTAGTTGTAGCTGTGTTGGTCCCAGTATATTAGCGAGACGAGGTGGGTGAGGGAATCTCTTTTATTGGACAAACTTCTGTTGATGAGAGAGACAAGCTTTCGAGCCACACAGAGCTCTTTGCCAGGTCTGGAAAAGAAACTTCCAGTCTCACAGCAAAATGTGAGGCGAAGAGATTGTTTAGCATAACTAGTTAACACACATTCTCAGGGACCATTCTACCACCACCTTCCCACTAAACTCTCTCTGGAACACTCCCACACTAGCATCAACTTCCTGGACATCACAATCGGCTTGAACAATGGAACCCTACAGACAACCATATACAAGAAACTCATGGATCACCACATCTACCTTCACAGATCCACTAACCATCCCAAACACACTAAGGCTTTGTCTACACCAGCACTTTTGTCGGCAAAACTTTTGTCAGTCAGGGGTGTGAAAAAACCATACCCCTGACCAACATAAGTTTCACCAACAAAAGCGCCGATGTGGACAGTGCTATGTTGGCAGGAGACAGACTTTCGCTGACATAGCTACCACTACTTGTTGGGGGTAGTTACTTATGCCAGCAGGAGAGCTCTCTCCTGCCAGCATAAAGTAGCTACATAGGAGACCTTGTAATTGCACAGCTGCAGCGGTACAGCTGTGCTGCTGTAAGGACCATACTGTAGACATGGCCTAAGAAATGTGTTATCTACAGCCAGGCACTCATAGCACAGAATATGCACCTTAACAGACTTAAAACCATCTTCCCCAAACAAGGACACTCATCCAGAGAAATATATCACATCCTGGAATGGGCACCCAAATACCCAGAGAGCACCTGCTTCAATAAAGAAACAAAACCCTCTCTGACCGCACTACTCTAGTTGTCACCTACCCCCCACCCACCACTGGAACCCATATGAGGGATCAAACAAACAAACAACTACACCATATACTTGACGGGGACCATCTTAAAAAAAAAAAATCTTTCTTGAAGCCCCTCTTCTGGCCTTCAAACAACCCTCCCAACCTCTCCAAGCTCAGCGTCAGAAGCAAGCTCCCCACAGACCAGGACACAGCAACTCAAAGCAGCACCAGACCCTGCCAGAACAGATGCAAAACTTGAACACATATCTCCACTGCTTACAATAACCAACACCTCCCACAATACACCTTTCAAGATCCATGAATCCTACATATGCCTATCACAACATGTAGTGTATCTCAACCAGTTCATTAAATGCTCCAATAACAATTGTGTGGGTGTAACCAGACAATTACTATTCTCTCGAATAAACTCACACAGGAAAATGATAAAAGACAAAAACACCATATCACCTGTGCGTGAAACCTTTTTCACAAAGTTATCACTCTGTATCTGACCTATCAGTCCTCAACCTCAAAGGAAACCTGTACTAATACTTACAAAAGACAAGCTTGGGAGCTTAAATTCATCACTGTGCTAGACACCAAAAATCATGGACTGAGACACTGGATTTAGGCTTATTACAACAATCTGTAACCCACTAACTCCTCTTTTTGTCCTATGACTGCAGAGGTATTGATGGGTCACTTACAGTATGTGTTAACTACTTACGCTAAACAATCTGTTCCGCTTTTCATTTTGCTGCAAGGCTGGGAGTTCCTTTCCCAGATCTGACCAAGAGCTCTGTGTGGCTTGAAAGCTTGTCTCTCTCACCAACAGAAGTTGGTCCAATAAAAGATACCCCCTCACCCACCTTCTCTCTCTAACTAATTTATGTAATGACTATATAGGCGAGATAAATCATTAAAGAAAAATAACTTGATAAATAATTTGTTGTTTGAATCAGCCTATCAGCAAAAGACTAACACCATTCGTCAAATTATGATGGGAAATTCTGCCAATAGATGGGTCTTACAATTTGTCTAGCTCTCATAAGAGAGTCCATAGCAAAATTAAAATAAAAAGCACAAAAAGGGCAAATCTTTGCAAGCACACCGAGAACCACCCAACAATTTACTACTCTATAAGAAAACAAATTCAGCTCATTTAAAAAAAAAAATGTATCTTCTACATGAACAGATCACATTTAAGCTGCATATGGGGATGAAAGGATACATACTTCAAACACACTAACATACATCATTGCAGTCTCATATCGTTCTTAAAAGATCCGAATAAGTCTCTTCACTATTTTTTACTTCCATGCATTCTCAATAATCGACCTCTACATATCTACTGAAGAAGCATACCTCTGCCTGGTTAAAGGAAAATAATTATTTTTCCATCTGTGCTGGATGTGTTAGATTTTTAGTTTGTTTTGTGTGCGCATCTCACCAGTCATTTAAGATCCATAACAGTTTCCCGAGTCCATGCACTGAATTAATTATTTATTTGGGAATAAAGTTATTTTACTGGGAACTATAACTATTCCTGATTGAATCTGGGGTAGGTCAATATTGATTGAAAGTCACTACTATCTGACAGTTGGTCAGTAGTATTTATGAAATTAAGTTGCCTGCTAGCAAAGAGGTGTCCACCTCACAAATGACAACCTGGCTGGCAGTCTCACCAAAGCCCAAGAATTAAATGGGCATAGCAATTACTGCTTATTTCCATAGAAGGCAACTGTAGCTAACAAAAGTTTTTCTGTGTGACCAGGGCCACTGGAAAACCACAGAGATATTAGCATATTCTGCTGAAACTTGACCTCAATCTCTCTGGAAAGTTTACTATATTTTTATATATAGTCTTTCTGGAACTTGGGGTAAATGGTCCACAGTGAGGGAAGATATGCTTGCACAGTGCTGGTTAGTAAACTGGCCATGCTGCTACCAGTTCCACAGAATATCTGGGAAACTGCAGAGTGAATCCTGCTGCAGCTAATTCTCTAGGACATCAAGTAGTTTGGGGATGGGGTGAATTGGACTTTATATCATTTCCTTCAGATCCACTGACCCTGGCAGAGGAATAGGCCCATGCTCTGTTGCTTAGAAATCTTCTATTTGTGCCATGGGTCAGGGAAGTCTGGTCAGAATTCTTACATGATTTCTGTATCCTTTCAAGAATATCTCAACTGCTTCTGAAGAAAAAATGGCAAACCGCATTTTCCAGTGGAGAACAGCAACATTTATAGGATATTGAAGATTTTCTACAGCATGAATTTCCAGGTTTAAAAAAAAAAAAAAACAGGAACAAATGAACTCCCTAAGACTATCATTAGTGATAATGAAGGTAAGAGAATCTCAGATACATGAACAGATTTGTTGGTATCTATAATATTTTTCAAAGTGCTCCTTTCACTGTCAGCTGCTCTGCAAGTAATAAAACTACATGAATATTTTGAAATATTGTGAAAAAGATGTGCAACCTATCTTTTGCAGCATAGAAAAACGGTTACTCACCCTCTTGTAACTGTTTTTCTTGGAGATGTGTTGTTCATGTCCATTCCAATCAGGTGTGCATGCACCGTGTGCACAGTTGCCAGAAATTTTTCCCCAGCAGCTCCCATTGGGTCAGCTATGGAGCCCCGTGGAGCGGTGCCTTCATGGCGCTCAGGGACCCTGCCAACGTGGCCCCTCCTCAGTTCCTTCTTGCCGGCTTCTCTGACAGAGGGGTTGGAGGGTGGGTATTGGAATGGATGTGAACACCACATCTCGAAGAACAACAGTTACAAGAAGGTGAGTAACCGTTTTTTCTTCTTTGAGTGCTTGTTCATATCGATTCCAGTCAGGTGACTCCCAAGCTCTACCCTGGAGGTGGGGTCGGCATTAAGGAATCGCCGATTGGAGCACCGCTCAGCCGAAAGCTGCATCATCTCTAGCATGCTGTGTGATGGTATAGTGAGAGGTGAATGTATTCACCAAGTACCTGGCCTGCAGATTTCCTGTATCGGGACCTGGGCCAGAAACGCAGCTGACGAGGCCTGTGCTCTTGTGGAATGAGCCTTAAGAGGCGGGGCTGGGACATTGGTCAGCTCATAACATGTGCAAACACAGGCCGTGATCCAGGAAGATAATCTTTGAGATGAAACTGGAAGTCCTTTCATGCGGACTGCCACAAACAGCTGGTTCGACCTCCTGAACAGCTTTGTGGGCTCAATGTAGAATGCTAAATATCCGCCAAACATCCAGTGAGTGCAGCCTTTGCTCTTGGATACTGTTGCGTGGCTTGGGAGAGAAGACAGGTAGAAAAATGTCTTGGCTAGTATGGAATTGTGACATTACCTTAGGGGAGAAAGGCCGGGTGAGATCTGAGTTGCATCTTGTCCTTGTGGAAGACCATGTAGGGTGGATCGGAGGTAAGGGCCTTTAACTCCGACACCCTCCTGGCTGATGTGATGGCGACCAGGAAGGCTAGCTTCCACGAAAGGTAGCGAAGTCAGCAAATAGCCAGCGGTTCGAATTGGGGTCCCATAATCTGGAGAGGACCAGGTTAAGGTCCCATGACGGAAGAGGCTGTCTAACCCAAGGATATAGCTGTTCCAGGCTCTTAAGGAAATGTCCTACCATAGGGTTAGCGTCCAGATGTGCCCGGATGGAAGGCCAAGATAGCAGCAAGGTGTATTTTGATGGATGATGCTGCCAGGCCTTGTTGGTTGAGATACAGAAGGTACTCCAGGATGAGTGATATAGACGCCTGAGTGGAGGAGTGTAATGTTGGGCACACCAGCAAATGAACCTCTTCCACTTGGCCAGATAAGTGGTCTTGGTAGATGGTTTTCTGCTGCTGAGCAGGACCTTTCTTAGTGGTTCTGAGCACAGGAGTGCCATTGGGTTTAGCCATGAAGCTTCCAAGCCATGAGATGGAGGGACTAGAAGTCCAGGTGGTACAGGCGACCCTGATCCTATGTGATCAGATCGGGGTAGAGTGGTAACACGATAGGAGTGTCCATTGACTGCTCCAGAAGCGTAGGTACCAGTGTTGGCGGGGCCATGCCGGGGCCAAAAAAATTACTTTTGCTCTGTCTCTATGGATTTTCAGCAGTACTCTGTACATGAATGGGAATGGCAGAAAGGCATATATGAGATGGTCTCCCCAGGGAAGCAGGAACGCATCCGAGATTGAACTCGGGCTGTGTTTCTGAAAGGAGCAGAACACTGGGCACCTCCTGTTGCTCTGGGTGGCAAACTGATCGACCTGGGGAAACCCGCACTTTTGGAAGATGGAATATATGATATCCAGACAGATGGCCCACTCGTGATTGCGAAACGATCTGCTGGTGGTCCGCTAGTTCGTTCTGCACACTTGGGAGATAGAACGCTTCCAGGTGAATCGAGTGGGCTATGCAGAACTCCCATAGCTGAAGGGCCTCCTAACATGGGGGCGAAGAGGGGAAGAGTGGACTCCACCTTGCTTGTTGATGTAAAACATGGCTGTAGTGTTGGTGGTCATTACCTGCACACACTGGCCTTGGAGCCGGGATAGGAAGGTTTGGCATGCTAGCTGTACTGCTCTGAGCTCTCTGACATTGATACGCAGGGACAGCTTGTCCTGCGACCATAGTCCTTGTGTCTGGAGCTCTCCCAGATGTGCCTCCCAACCCAGAACTGACGCGTCTGTTACGAGGGACAAGGAGGGCTGGGGGCTGTTGATGGGAACACCCTTGCAGATTGTGTGAGGGTTGAGCCACCATTGGAGGCACTTGAGTACTTGGTCTGTCACTCCCTGGGTGGTACACAGACGCGAGCCATGCTTGAAGTGGTCTGAGCCTCCGTCTGGCATGCCGGACCACCTAAGTGCAGGCTGCCATATGGCTGAGGAGACTCAGGTATCCCCTTGCGGTAGTGGTCAGGTACCAACTGAGGCTTTGGATAATGTCTGTCATGGTCTGAAATCAGGTGTCTGGCAGGAGCGCCCTTGCCTGCACCAAGTCTAGAACCACACTGATGAATTCTATTCTTTGAGTCGGTGAGTAGGTTGACTTGTTCACGTTGAGCAGGAGTCCCAGCCTCTCAAAAGTAGTTCTGACTAGTCAGACTTGAGACTCCACCTGCTCCCTGGTGTGCCTCCTGAGTAGCTAGTAGTCGAGGTAGGGATCCTCCTGCGGAGGAAGGCTGCTATGACCAACATACACTTGGTGAACACTCAGGGGCCTGTCGACAGACCGAAGGGGAGGACTGTGAACTGACAGTATTTGTGGCTGGCTACAAACCTCAGAAACCATCTGTGCGTGGGCCGAATAGCTATGTGAAAGTATGTGTCTTTCATGTCGAGGGTGGCATACCAGTCTCCTGGATCCAGGGAAGGAATAATAGTACTCAGAGAGAACATGCGGAACTTCAACTTCACCATGAACCTAGCCCAGAGTGGGTCTAAGACCTGCTTTGCCTTGGGGATTAGGAAATACTCAGAGTAGAACCCCTTGCTCCTTAGCTCCTGAGGAACGTCCACCATTGCCCCTATGGCGAGGAGTGACTGCACCTCCTGGATAAGGAGTTGCTCGTGAGAAGGGTCCCTGAAGAGGGATGGGGAAGGGAGGGTGGGGAGGAGCAGAATTGGAGACAATATCCCACTTCTACCATGCGGAGAACCCAGCCGTCCGATGTTATTTGGGACCATGCACGGTAGAAGTGGGACAGACAATTCCGAAAGCAGGGCTGAGGATCTGGTATACAGTCTGGCACGTCATCCCCAGGCGCACCTTCAAAAGGCCTGCTTGGAGGCTGAGGAAGTGCGCGCTTGGCCCTGTGATGACGAGGGCTAGGACAGCTTATGCCTGCTGTTCCTACCTCGCATTCTAGAAAAGTCTTGCCTAGGGTGAGGTTGGTAGGGACATTGAGGGGATTCAGGCTTAAGAAGTGTTTTCGCTGAGCAGCTGGGGTATGCAACCCCAGCGATTTCATCGTCACCCTTGAATCCTTTAGGCTGTGTAGCCTGGAGTCTGTTTGCTCTGCGAATAATCCTGTCCCATCAAAGGACAGGTCCTGCAGAGTCTGTTGGACCTCTGGGGGTAGACTCAAAACTTGAAGCCATGAGGTCCTCCTCCGCCAAGTCACCAGCATCCAGTGCCTGCAAAGAGGTCTGTGCCACTGTCTTGCCCTCCTCCACAATGGCCCCAGACTTATCCCTGAACTCCAATGGTATTAGCTCCTTAAATTTGAGCATGGAGTTCCATGAGTTAAAATTTTATCTGCTCACGACTGCCTGCTGATTAGCAATCCTGAGCTGTAAGCCTCCCCTGGAGTAGACTTTTCTACCAAAAAGGTCAAGGTTTTTTTTTTTTGTTGTTGTTTTTTTTTAAAAAAAAAAGAAGAGTCCTTGGACTTAGGCGGGGGTCCCTGCTGCCCCTGCCTTTCATGTTCATTAACTGCAGACACCACCAAGAAGCAGGGCTGCGGGTAGGAGTATAGATACTCTTAACCCTTGGAGGGAATGAAGTATTTGCATTCTACTCCCCTGGCCGTCGGGGGGGGATAGAGGCCGGGGTCTGCCACACAGTTTTGGTGTTGTTTTGAATGGTCCTAATGAGTGGCAGTGCCACTCAGGATGGACCTTTTAGGGCCAAAATGTCCACCACTGGATCCTCCTATTCCACCACCTCCTTGGCTTGTAAGCTCATGTTGCACGCCACCCCGCAGAATAGGTTCTGGTGGGTGTGACTATTTATGGGTGGTGGTCCTGAGACGAAAGTTCCTGCTACCATCACGTCTGGGGAAGAGGATGAGGATGCAGGTGAGGAACTAGGTCATCCTGGGCCTGTTGGTCCATGGGGACCTCCTGCTCGACCTGCTGTTCCAGGTTGGTGACCACCTGTTCCACCGTAAGGGTGGGAGTCTCTGCTGGTGAAAGTGCTGTAGACTGAATCCCTTCAGCACCTCTGGGCACAGGGCGGCTGGCCGAGGCCGTCGGCAGCCTGGGCTCCGATGCCACTGACCAGAAACCCTTGGACAAGGTGCCCTGGGACTGGTGATATGCCCAGGGGGTCCAAAAAAGCCATTGAGCTGGTCCTTGCCATTGGGACAGCCATGGCATTGTACCCACATCAGGCTGTTGATGCGTTGACCGGTGCCAGTTCTGATGTGAGTATCTAGACCCCACGTCTGATTCTGAGGATGGGGACCAGGATCTAGATAGCCATGGCAGTGCCGATCAGAGCTGGCCAGGTGAGCGGTGCCACGAGGAAGGGGAGTGGTGCTGAGGCCTCGATCTCTACTGAGGTGATTAGTGACGTGATGATGATCAGCACCGGGAGCTGGCCCTCCGACGACCCAGGGCCGAGACAACCGGTGCTG